GGACAACATGTTGGTTCTTTTGGTACCAACCTCGTCGCGTTTGGTGGTCGGAGGTGGTGGTGGCGACCCAAAAATGGGTCGGATGAACAATAACAGAGGGGGAGGGGAGGTGCTGTGTGCGAAGGGGGAGGGAGGAAGAAGGAGAAAAAGAAAAGAAAAATTAAAATTGCCCGGTTACTGTAATAGTACTGTTTGCTACAATAACACATTTAAAAATTCCCTTTACATCCTTTTCGTTTTCAGACTTTTCCTCCTTCGTTACAACTCAGAATTGGGCGTGCCGCATGTCTACGAACTCGTATTGACGAGCTCTACGCAATGGTGCCACTCATTTCCCCAAAATCCTTCCAGATCGAAAAGTGATCAAAGTGACCCTACATCCTTATGGCAAAATTGTAATTTCACAATTACATCAATTGAACAAAATGATTAAATTGGGTCAGGGGTGTTACAAGCCAAGTGAAAGTTAAATAAGTCATACAAAATCAAACCCATCCAAGCCAAGTGACAATTAAACAAGCCATGTTTACAAAAACAAATCCATCCATCCAAACTTCATTCCTTCCATCGATTTACAAAAAAAAAGAATTCATTCATCCAAAATGTATTCCATCCCTAGTCATGTCGTTTCAATTTGGCAACTAAACTCTCCATGGCCTTGCCCTTTGGGCTGGATACGTGTACCCAACTTTTTTTCCAGGGGTCATGACTGAGTGAGGTTCATTCATTTGGGAAGCTTGAGTCACTTAAGAAGCTTGAGTGACCTGAGAAGCTTGATTCACTTGGGTTGCAACACCTTGATTCAATTGTGAACTAACATATGGAGTTGGTTGCCTTGGCACTTGGGAGATAGATCATCCTCATCTCACCTATTTGACAACATAAATAGTGTCAAATCCATCAAAACCAACCATAATTCTATAGTACTTTTGTTGTTAAAATACTAAATTTAACTTACACCAATCAAAGTTCTCATTTCACTCATTGTTGGCATTGACATTTGAGGTTGTTGTTGTTGACCTCCTCCACCCTATACATAATCGAAAGTGAAATAAAATTAAATAAAAAAGGACTGAATTAACATATATCAAAGTAAATGAAATTATTTATCTATGAACTGCCACTTACACTAACAGTTGTTGGAGCTGCTCCTCTTGCCATTATTGGGCCTTGTGAAGTAGAAGCTTGATTTACTTGGGAGACAATTCCTCCTCTTCTTACCTATTTGATAAATTAAATAAGGTCAAATCCATCAAAACCACCCAGAATTATAAAACATTGAATTTGGCTTACACCAAACTTTGCGTGACTTTGACCCCTAGGCTGGATTGAACTTTGATGTTGTTGTTGCTGACCTCCTCCATTTACACCCTCACTTGTTGGAGCAACTCCTCTTGCCATTCTTGGCCTACTTGTTCCTCTTCGCCTTCCTCTAGCAGAATCTTGTTAAAACAGTCAACAAGTTAATGAAAGCAGTTGAAATCAGTTCCATGTATGAAAATAAATAAATCAGTTCCATGTATGAAATTAATAAATTAGTTTGGAGCAACTTATAACAGTGTCTTACCTGTGTTGTACAACCAGCAGCATTATGGCCTTGCACTCCACATTTGGTACAAGTTATAACAATGCCATACCTCCTCAGTTTGGTTGCCCCCCTTGGTATCTCATCAGCTTCCTTTTGTCTGCTAATCCTTGGCCTTCCTGGTTGTTTGTGATAAAAAGGGGGCTTGATGGGTCTGTGTCCAGTTTTTCTCCAATGATCTGAACTAGGCATTGGAGAAATGTAGCCTTCGTAAGCCCTATCATAGGCAGACCTTTTAATTCCCTAAGTATAGCCATTCTTAACATGAGATATATTCTAATTCTCTCCAGCAAACTCACAATGGGCTTATCCCTTGCTTCCAAAATGGCAGCATTAAAACACTCACACAAGTTATTAAGAAGAATATCACATTTAGCATCGCATGAGAAATGTGATCTACTCCAATTAGATGTTGGCCTATTTTTAAGCCACTTATAAGCCTCATGTGACTGAGATAACATCTTATCCATCTCAACATCAAAATTGGGTATTGTTGTTGCCCTAGCTGCTGCCCAAAGCCTCTGCTTTAATGCTAATCCGCTATGTCCAAGACTCTTAAAATTGTTGTGCAAATGCCTTACACAATGCCTATGCTCTGCATTTCGCATCAAAGCATTAATGGCCTGTCTTAACCCATTTTGCTTATCTGTAATGAATACCCAGCCTTTGCCATTTTCAATCTCAATATCATCAAAGAAAATCTGCATCAACCATGCCCAAGTCTCCTTATTCTCAACTTCAACTGCAGCAAATGCAATGGGATACATCCCATTATTTGCTTTTATCCCCACTGTAGTAAGAATCTATCCTGGATGACTTCCCTTAATATGACACCCATCAAAACCGACCACTGGCCTACAACCTTCAACAAATCCTTTCTTTAATGCTCCAAAAAAAATATACATCCTTTGGAAGATAGGATCCTCACCTTGCAACTGAGTCTTCACTAATACAGTGCTACCAGGATTGTTGGCCTTTAACTCCTCACAATAATCCCATAATTTTGCGTATGGTTCTTCAATGCTGCCAAGTGTCTTCTTTTTAGATAATCTCTTGGCTTTAAAAACTTGATTTTCAGTTACATCAATACCATCATGTTTCCTCACAGGCTTCATGAAATCGGCCACACTCATGTCAGGATTATCTTGTAGTTGCTCATCAAACCTAGCAGCCAACCATGTAGAAGTTGCATATTTTGTCTTTTGGAGCTTTCCACAAGTATGTGTAGGCTTGTACGTCTTGATCCTCATAGTTGGCCCCTTTCCCACGTGAGATGCATAAAGCACCCAAGGACACTTTGGGATAGCCTCTCCTTCAAAAATTAATCTAACTTTATTTGAATCATTCTTGGTCCATTTCAAAGGTCTAGCAGCTGCAACAGCATAATACCTTATTGCCTCTCTGCATTGTTGCATGTTTGGGAACTCCATGCCCAAATGATAGTGGGGATCAACTAGATCAGTCTCTCTTTTGAACTGCTTAAACCTTGGAGGTTTTCTTCTACAGCTACGCTTTTTCACCCCTTCAACTTCATCATGTTCTTCCTTTTCTGAAAGACTTCTCAAATCCTCTGAATTGTAATGGTACTCATCATTATATGCCTCCCCATGTTATTTGTGAGGATTCAACACCTTCATCTACCACATACTTATCAAAATCACGATCATCTACATTTACTTCTTCGTTGGCCTTCTCTTGCTCAGATTGCTCATAGTCAGAGTCTAAGAACTGAAACTTCAATTCGGCACGCTTCTCTGCATTAGCAATTAAATCCTCTTTAACATCCTTATCATTATCTTCATAATTCCCATCACTATCTTCATCTACATCTTCATAATTCTCATTAAGATCTTCATCATTATCTTCAAATTCATCATCATCATCACCATCCAATGTGTCTATCACAACATTAAAGCTCGTCCATTTATCTTCAACATTCAAACAATCAACTCTAATTGCCACATCCACAAACTCACTAGGATCTTGTTCACTCTCCCACAAATTATCCCAACCATCACCCTATTGACCACAATCTGAAGTATTCACATTAGTTTCAACATCAACTTGGTGTAAATTTGGGGGAAGCGAACCATCAAAGTGAAATGTAGGTGTATATGCAAATGCAAATGCTTGACTCTCTAACAAGAGGGGGTTTTGGCTTATGTGAGAGGTACAAATTCTGAATCCTAGATGAAGGAATTTGTTGCACAAACTCAAGTACATGGCCATCTGTTTCTAGTGAAAGAAAAGCCTTTGTTGTGCTTCTATAGTGAAAACACGTTTTCAACTGGTTGTATCTGAGTGATGTAGCAATGTCATACATGTCCAACATTGAAAAATGATCCTCAATACAGTTATCTATCCATTGTACCCTACCACCCAATTATTTCCCCTTCTTAAAATTCCCTCCATGGTGAACCTTCATAGTGAAGTTATCTGGATCAACTACAAAGGCATAACAACACTTAATGTAACCAACAACTTACATTTATAGCCATAACAACACATTTACTTTTGACAAAACAAAAACTTGCTCACATCAAACAAAACCAAAAGTTATAGACCAAGCACAGACAAATCACATGCACTACCCTTGGGACCTCAAATATATTTCATTTTCAGAAAGGAATATCACCCAAAAAAAAAAAAAAAGAATCTTAGCTAAACTACTTTACAGAAGGGAGATAAGAAACACTATTCTACCGACGCCATTGGACCACAATGATTCAAAACGAGAAAAAAGAAGACTTCTTGTACTTTGGAGGACGACCACTACTACGCATAATTGGAGCCATATTTCATCGAATCCACAAAACCCGTTTCAAGAATCTCACCAATTTGAAACCCTCAGTCTTCAAATCATCTATTCAGTGCTTAATCGTCGAATCTCCTCTTCCCCAAAACAAACCCTCCTTTACTAATAGTCATGTGAATTGACCCTTAGTGACTTTTGTTTTTCTTATTTCTTTTTAAATCAACGACTTGTGTGATCGGGGAAGGGGCTGACTGGAGTTATTAGGGTGGAGAGAAGAAACTACCCTTTGAACAGTGACAATTTGACGGAGTATTGGATGTCAAAAAGTTGATTTAGATGGTAGGGGGGGAATTGGTGATAAAAAAATAATTCGTATCCTTAATTTTCCAAAAAAAAGGTTAGAGCGCAAATTGAAAGTAGCGTACAAATTTAGGGGGTAGATTGATAGTTAACTCTTAACCCTTATTTATAATCTCAGCTATTAAACGCATATTATATTACATATTTGATCGGGCCTCAGCAAGCCTAAATAAGCAGGACCAGGCCATTTTTTGGCTCAATGGGGCCGAAGACATGTGACCTTGGGCCATCTGCCATCCTCAGCCCAAAAGAAATTATTCGTTAACATCAAGAACCAACAAACCAATCTCAAGTCGATTACACCAAAGTTTTTCTTCTTGCTCATTTTAGTTTCAATTTTGCATATTATTTCGTTACATATTATTTTTAGTTTCTCTTCCGTCCCTGTAATGTCTATGTGATCGTTAGTTAACATCAAAATTAATCAATGGGTTCTACTGCTGCTGCTGCTGCTGCTGTGAATATGGCGTCTTTGATTACTGCCATCCCTGTTTCTTCGACAAAATTGAACTTCAATGACAAATTTACATCTGGGTTTCATTTCAAAGGAGCTAGGGCCATCACCAAAATCACTGCCATCTCTCCCAACGGCTCTGCTTCTCGTTCTGCTTCACATGGGGTTAGCTTATGTCTCTTGCCCTTCTCTTTTCGTGCATATTCTTTTATTTTCCTGGAATTTCTGTTTTGAGTTGTTGATTTATTGGAGAAAGTAGTAGTGGATTGGTTGCTCATCGAATTGGCATCCCTAGGAGTTTCTTTAATTTCTCTTTAACTTGATGCATTAATTTCTATCACTTTTGCATTTTTGTGGGTTGACCATGTTTTTTTTTGGTTGAGCAAATAACCTTTTATGTTTGTTGGATTTTACTGTTGATAAAGATTTATTGAACCTGAAGATCAAAGATAATGAATTTAGAAGGAGCAATATAACCAATCAAAGTACGCATGGGCATGTGCTTAACGCAAATCTCTGTTGATTTTCTGGTTCCTTTTGGTTTTTATTTCCTTCTTGTTGACATTCAGTAAGAATTAATTTAGTTCTTCAAATTGCTAAAGCTATCTAGAGTTCCATTTCTCAGTGTGTGCATGATTGTGCATGCAGCTGTGTGTCCTTATGTACACATTGGGATAGATTGAAGACTTCTTCATTTTTGTAACTAATTGAGATTTGAAGTATCCTGTAATCATATATCCTTCCGTAGAAGTATATGATGTGTCTAAATCTCTTACAATATTTATTTGGTGCTATAGGCTGAGTGCTCAGCTGGGGATGTGGATAAACGAAGAAGTAGTCTTGAATCTCTGTTTTGTTATGATATGGCTGTACCAGAAGAGAGAATTGAGAAGCCTATTGGGATATCTTTGGCCGAGAAAGTCATTGGAAATAAGCCCCGATGCATTGATTGTGAAGCCAAAGGTGCCATCCTTTGCACCACTTGTTCTGGTTCAGGCCTGTATGTTGATTCAATATTGGAGAGCCAGGGCATTATTGTCAAAGTCCGCTGCCTAGGTAAATAACTTTTCTTCCTCTAAAAGCTGTGTTTTACAGACACATGTGCAAGCACGTTGGACATTCTTGCACTCCCATTTATAATTTGACTTCTAGCAAGTATGAGTTACAATTTGTTTTGACTAGTATGTTCTTTGCCAACTTCAAAATTGGGTTGTTTGTTCAAGTTAACTATAAAATGAAAATGCAGTACATTACACAAATATGCACCCAAAAAAAATGGATTGTATTACCAGTAACAGCTTGGAGGAGGGGAGGGGGGGTGGGGGCGGGGCGTGGGGTGGGTTTAACCTTACCACCTTCTGACTAAACAGCCAAGGACAAGTTAGTTGTTTGTTTTTGTCAATTCTTGTTCAGAACAGACTTTACTAATTTTCTATAGAAGGTAGGATCAGTAGTAACAGCTTGTCATTTTTTGATGTTATTATGTATTATATATACTTAGGCTCTATCATTCTCTTCCAAATTTCTCCCCGAAGTGAGGTCAAACGGAGAAAGATCACAACTTTGTCTTCATGGATTCTTACTCTGTTTGATATGAGTTATGCAGAAGATCGTAATTTGAAGGCGAAGAAGTCTTGAGCTAGAATGGATGTTTTCCATCTACTTAAATAAGTTGTTATGATAGTTTGGAATTTGAACTTGAATACTTTCTCCACAAGTTATTGAATTCTAGGTATTTATAGGTAGGTTCAGAATTTTTTTGAATTTTGGTAGTCTCTTTTCTTATGTGATTGTTTGATTTGGATGAGTGAAATTTTATAGTTGATGACAGCCGTTTAAGAAGAAAGAGATTACTCCACTTGATTGTCAATAATACATAGTATTGATTATACAAGACGAATGATAATATGCTAATGCTTTAATTATTTCATGTAGGTTGTGGGGGAACCGGTAACATTATGTGTTCAGAATGCGGTGGCCGTGGCCATTTAGGATGACCTACTGGTTCGCTTATCTTCATTCCATGGATTTGTTTCATGTGCAAGTAACTTGTATTATAGACATAAGGCCTTCTCGTATTCTTTGGTTCATGGTGGGTGATTCTACGATAAATCTGTATTCGAGTGTAACAGTAATGTATGTGATTCATTTAGTTTTGGCAATGCTATTCTGCCTCAGATTTTATGCGCTCTTTATCATGTTGAAATTCTCAGAACTGCATATGCTTTACAGACAAACAAGCATCAGAGGTGCCTTCAACAAATTAAGCTTAAAAGAGAAATAAAGGGAACTTCAATGTAAACCTGTTGTCTTTTGGTAAAATTTGAACCTATATACAAGAACGAAAGTTATAAGTTTTCATGTAGTATAACCAACAGAATAAATGCTAGGTCGTAAATTCCATGGTCTGATAAAGATGGAGTCTAAGATTATGGACATATACAAGCCGAAAAATTACTGGTTTTTATGTTTAGCAGCATCTTATCTCTTGTGGTACTTTCCTATATATCCATCTTGAATGATTTGAGAATGAGTCTTTGGTCCAGCTGCTCCTGAGATAGGCATGACTTGTTAATAGCTTGCGATTGTTATGCTTGAAATCTCTGGAGCTCATCAAGGCGAACGGGGATGGTCGAGTCAAAGCGAACGCTCTCTGGATTTTCTGCATAAGCCACATAGTAAGACGAAACACATGCTTGGGGCCATGCCATGGCAATCCTACACTGAAATCACAGACATCAAAGCCAAAGTCAGAAGGCATCAAGGTATTGATATTTGTAAGGTTATGGGCAAAGAGAATGTACAGCTAGAGTTATTTACCATGAAATAGCCGATGAAGAATGCATAGATTGAAACTTCTGTAGCATAGCTCTTATGAATAGCAAGAGCCCAAGTTCCACTCACTAGGCTGCATATTGCACCTGCTGCCACCCCAGAAAGAAAGCACAATGATCCTGTGCGATCCAAGTCGATTAATTCTTTCAATCCTGCACTCCTGAACATCTCCCAAGTATCTGATGATGCCTGCATGAAGCCCTTATCATACGCCCCTACGTGCACAAAACCCCACCGGTTCCCATACATTACCAGCGTTGAAGCCATTCCTGCATAACAGTTGGCACATGAAAACAGAAACTCGTCGGTATCCCCTGCAACCAATTTCATGCCTCGGGCAGAGCCCCGAATAACCCCGAGAACTGGAACCAAGATGGAGCCAATGCAGATACTTCCCATCAAGTGCTTAAGGGTGTCGCGGAAAGCCTTAGGTGTGTCAATATCTGTTCCCCATGCAAAGTGCATGTACTTGATGCGTGAGACAGTAACAAGAAGTATGTTCTTGATTACTTGCATAGTCCATGCCATGCTCAGCAAGATTACTGAGTGGAACAGCACATTCAAACTACTTCTGGTGGCAGTGGCTCTTCCAATGCCGGACACCAAGAAACATGAGTAAAGAATGCTGATGGAAATTGACTGAAGGACTAACATGGTAGTTTTAGCAGGAGGGAAAGCAGTGGAAACTGATAAAATCCGGATGGCGTATTCAAAACGGGGACTGACCCAACAGGCATACAGGGATTGAATGAGGGCACAAATGACTGCAACCACGCCTGCGGCCAAACTTTGAGCAGATTCCACAGATACAAGCAGTACACCGACAGCGCAGGTTAGCAAGGGGCTAAGCCAAAAGGCAGCCTTGATAGCTTTAGAAGGGCTTGAGCCAGTGACCCATTGCCATATGAAAGCAACAATTGCAGAGCAGGCTGTTGAAGTGAGCAATGGAGGATAAAACTTGAGGGGTTGAAAATGGTGATTGCGAGAGGTGGAGATGAGGAGGCCATACAGTGTAAGGAAGACGATGAAGATGGCGATGAGGATCAAGTGCAAGTAAAAAAGAATTGTAAAGAGCCTCCTGAGGAATTTCCCAGCCGTGGATATCTCAGTTGGAATGATGCTAGGCTGTTGTGCCTGCATCCACAGCAAATCAACAAGAAAGTCAACTGGTGAAGTTCAAAGATAAACCAAATTGGTACTGGAAAATTAGATTGGAAAGAGGGAAATTGCAAGGAATTTGAAAAGGGGAGAAAAGAAAGACGAGCAAGAACAAGAAAGAAACAAGAAATGGGTGACAGAGATGAGAGAGCCAGAGAAAGAAACAAGAACCTTGATGTGGTTGGTGAATGAAGGTCTATCTTCTTCTTCTTGAACTTCTCTTTGCATGTTCTTTGAAGTTGCACTAGTTGAATGAAGTTCCATCATTTGACCTTGTTGTTTAAAAATATATATCTTGAATTTCTACAAGTTCCTTTGCCTTCAAGATTCAACGAAATGAGATGGATGGAAATTTCCCAGGTTCGAATTAAAAACATGATATATATAGTGTGCATTGAACTGACCAAGTCTTAGACTCTCTCCAATTTGCTTGAGACGTACTCTTTCTTTGCGTCATGCGTGGCTTTTAGTTTTGCTAATCAGGCAGCTCATCGCAGTGACGTGATGAATTAGAGTTGAACTTCTGGCCCTGTGTTTTCCCTCGTGAAGAAGTTGGGTTTTTAACTTTTTTCTCCTCTTTTTTCCCTGGAAAATCCGTTGAAGCTTTTCTGTTTCTTTTTCTTCTTTATTTCAAAGACGTGGAACACGAGGAATTACAAGTTGTCTGATCTGTTAAAAAGGAGAGATGTTTCTTTGGTCAGCTGCTAACTGACTTTTAACTTTCCGAGTTACTCATCACTTTTGCTGCAAACATAATTACAGGATTTCCCATCAACTTGTAATTACAGACACTTTTTTTAAAATAAACAAGAAAGTTACAAAGTAGATCTGCGATGGATCTTACCACCATACAGATCAAACTTCATATAAAAGCTAATATCAAAGGGAAGAAATTTGAACCAAATACAAGGATTAGGATGAGATTGTCCTCTCGTAGCTAAAAAGTCAGCAACTTGATTGGCTTCTCTATAGGTATGGTGGTGATTGGTAATATGATCAAATTGCTGAAATAAGTGCCAAATGTCTTGAATAATTGTTCGAATGTACCAAGGGATCTTCTTTGTGAGAATTTGAACTAAAATTTTGGAATCACCTTCAATTTCCAAGTTTTGAAGATGGGGATATTGGTTCCACTACTAATAGTAACAAGGCTTTTTGTGATAAAATTCGGCACCGATTGAGCTATGTAGGTGGTTAAGTTGCCTATAATATTAGTGTTGTTAATAATGGGCTGCTCATCCGTCTTTCTGAAATTTAACATGGTATCAAAGCGGCCTAATTGATTAGGCCTGAATTATTAGCATTTTCCCTTACTCAATACGTACTGTTAACATGTTGGGCTTAAATGATTGATTTCGATTTGGAATTGGTTACACGTGTGGCCCACTATATGTTGATCCCACATGAGAGGCCGTGTTGAAGAATATGTATATACTTTGTTTTGAATGTTTTATGAATTATGTAAATAAGAGACAATGTTGTGAATTCAATACTACATGATTTTAGACGTATAAAAATAAAATTGACAATGAAAATATCTATTATAAAGTCAGATTCAAATAGTTGTAGTCACAGACTTGACCAAAAAAATTTGAACTAGAACACCCCTCAAACAAACAAAAAAAAATATCAATAACTTATGTGAAATTTTTATTTGAAGTTTAGAAGGTGGTATTGTAATTAAATGATGTGAAATTTATATTTAATGTTTCAGTAGTATTGTAATAAACGAAACAAAGGCTCAAGTTATATAAACTTTTGGGCATCAATAACACATCAATTTTTGGCCTAAGTGTATGATTTTGTTTTCGAGATCTAAAGGGAGTCTATCAATTATGATTGGTTTTTTATTAATAACAAAATTGATTATATTTTTTTTGGTGGACTACAAATTACTCAAATTTGACAATTATGTTCCTTTTATATTAAATAAGTTGAATAATAGATTTAGTAAGGTGTAGGCCATTGGCGGACCCAATGAAGGACAACTGTGGGCACTTGCCCACACTTACAAAAAAGTTGCAGCTGTATAATCCCACCCAAACTCATATTTTTTAATTTCTTTTAGGTTTTTCTTAGGTGGAGCCCCCCACATGGCTCATCCAATACATACACTTTAAACTTAAAGTTTATATTAAAAAAGAAAAACCCTATGTTATAAAAGAAGAATAAAGATCCCACCAAGTACACATCATTATCCACACGATTGTTGATTTTTTTTAATAATATGCATGTGGTTAAGATAAGAATAATATCGGTGGCTGATTTTTTAAAAGTCCTCTTTTATGGTTCATTGTATTTGAATAATCCACACGATTGTGACCATAGACGACCGAATGTCTTTGTAGTAATAGAAAGAAAAGGAGAGACCCTTCCCGTCCGTCAACCACGTTACATATCCAACCAAACTATATCGTTGTACACATCATTATCTAAGAAAGTTCTCTTTATTTGAATACTCCACACGATTGTGACCATAGACGACTAAAAGTCTTTGAAGTAATACTCGTCCGTCAACCATGTTACATACCCAACCACGTCACAATTTTTTTATTTTTGCAAAATTGAATATTTGAGCATGTATAAAAACAATTGTGTTAACCACATTTTTAATAGAGATGAGCCCTACATATGTAAGTCCTATCTCTATAGGCCATGCCAACCCATTAGAGCATCTCCAAGGGACATGTCAAATAACAAATATCAAATTTAAATTTGATGGCTGATGTGGCAATTTGACATTTACACATTTTTACACTCCACCCAATATGTCAAATAAATAATTATTGTAACTGTCAAATCATTCAAGATAAAAAAATAAAAAAAATAAAAAAAAAAAGGAAAATAATAAATGAAAGTAACAGTCAGTTGTCTTTAAAAAATAATAAAATATTCATTTGACATCTTGTTTTTGGGATGTCAAAAGTAACAGCTGAACCTCCAGCCTTCATTCCACATCAACTTTGACAATTCGGTTGGAGTGATGTGAGATGTTATTTCTAGCCGTTAAATGTCTATGTGGCACTTTTGACATATCGGTTGGAGATGCTCTTATGGCTTTGGGTTGTGCTCAAGTCAGGCCAAGTTCGTTTATTTATGAAAATCATTAAGTTTGGTTTGAGCCTACAGCCCTAACCCATATGAGCTTGGGCTTGGCTCTGGCTAGGACACTAAACAATCCAACATGGGCCCAAGCCA